CTGTTAGTGCATGTTCCTTATTGTGTGCTGCTATAATACCTAATTCTAACGAATAGAGAATAGAATTTCTCTAGTACTTTCTGCTGCATTATAATTCCCTGCGTACTCACCTGTGAATCATACTGCACTGTGAGATTCTTGATGAGAGACACTTGGCCCTAAGTGTCAAGAAGTGAGCATTGTGCTTGAAATTTGGTAGGCACTCAAAAAACATTATTGAAGGAAAGTGCCTGTTTCTTTCTTTTCTCTCTTGTAATGCTAGACCTTTTGCTTATTCAAATCTACATATCCCCTAGATCCACTGTCCACATACGTTTCACTGATTGCTCAAGCCTCACTGGTTCTTTCTGAACACCCAGAATACTTACAAGGATCTACGCAATCATAGACACTCCCTCAGTGGAGCATGTTGGCATTGGTTTATGACTATTGTTTATACTGGGCTTGTCTCAGTACCCTATTACAAATGATCAATGATGACAAGTTACTGAATTGGAGTTCCCTGTTAAATATAGCATTAGAGAGTATACCTAGAATCATATATTATTATAGCTGAAATGACTTTAGACATTCTCTTTCCCCACACCCTACTATAAAATGAATTCCAGACATCTTTAGTGCTTTGCCTGGGGTTATAAATATGTTTTTGGTTACTCTGTAGGAAATTGGGGTTTCGTACTATTTAATAATGAACAAGGAAGTAAGTACTTGGTAAAACGTTGGAATGTGATTTTTAAATCTGAATGACTCTATGTACATGATATTTATTCTCTTCGAATTGCCTTGCATGGTAATTTAAATTGCATTGCTCATTATAAAAATCCATATGCCTTTTGGGTGCTATTGTTGGTTTGTTTGTTTTCAACCTATAAAGGCATTGGTGACCTTAGCACAGGGCATTTTCTAAGGATTAATGAGAAGTTGGGGGTTAATGACTATCAACTCCTCCCAGCCAGTCATCAATCCAAAGGAAGCCTGGGAAGCAAGGCTATTAACCGCATTACCAACTTTCTGAAATCACATCCTTCTCTGCCTGCCTTGCCAAGGACTTAGGTTTCAGATGGGCTTGTTAGATCTTTTTTCAAAACCACTTCTTTAGTTACTTGCTTTGTCATTAACCTAGATGAAAACAAAATATATATGGAAAATAATTTTCTACATATTTTGATTAAACATAATTTGAAATACTCAGCCCTTTTTATATGCTTTTCTCTCCCATATATTTTTCAAACTGAAAGTCTAGAGCAAATCAGCCTATTGTGCATCCCAAGAAGCTAAAACATATGACCTGTTTCTGCAGTTTACCCTCTCTCCAACGCAGATTTGTTTATTGAGGGAGGATCCTTATTAGGGTTTTGGTTATATTTGTTTTAATAGAATATTATTGTTTCATATTTATTTCTTTTATAAGGTTGTTTTTCCACTAATATTCATAAGTACGGTGTTTTCTCCTTTGGCATCAGCCATGGTCACCCAAAACACCCTAAGAGATAAACATCAATGCATTAGCTAATGCATTACTACATTTTCCTTTGAGGAATAAACTATAGGAAAATGAAAGAAGATTCTGGAACAGAGAAGTTCCCATTTCTGCTCTGTTGAGGGAGCACAGGACCTTATTTTATCATTCTGCATCCTGATTCATACATTGCCACCAAATCCTTAAAGAAATGACATGGAGTGACAAAATGCCACTTGTGTACTAGTGTTTAAGCTGTTTGGCAAAGATTGCTGTCACCAGGGTAGACTGCATCCCAAGACCCTTCCCAACGGGCATTTGTTTTGAGTAATTTACTCAAGACCTGGGATTTTACTCTCAGAAATTTGATTTTGGTAGCTCATTATGAGAAGGTTGTAAATGTACTTGCTGAACACGTAAGAAATTGATGTATAGAGCGGAATGCCAATTCACTAATTTATAGCTAGAACTCTAACAGACCTTCCAAGCACTTCAGTCTATCAGTTATTTTGTATGGAACTTAAACTTTTTTGGAGTCATAAATCTCTTTGAGAGTATGATGTTAAGACTAATGAATAATCTTTCTATAAAAATATATAATCACATTTAAACAAAAATCGGCATATAATTTCAGGAGGTTCACAAATGAGTTGAAGCCCATTAATAAACTTAGGAACCCATTATGGTATTGTACAATTTCATGGAAAGGGAAATAATAATCAAATAAGGTTATTGATGAAAAAAAACAAGAGAACTTAATTGTATGATTCAAATTGTTATATTATTATAGTCGATGCATCAATCATTCTCCATATATGGACTTTAACTGTCATCAGTGCTAGACAAATAATGGAAACAATGAAGACAATAACAAATATTCCAACAGTATTGATTATGTACAAGACACTGTTCTGACAGTTTCTATATTAACTCATTTATCCTCACAATAATAGAGTCCAAAATCACAATACTCAATCCCCAGGCAGTTTCACAGAAGGGCATTACAAAAATTTGTTCTCTGTTTTTTAAGTCTCTATGTACTATTAGTGTCTGCTTAGTTGTGTAAGCAGCTAGAAATCTGCAACAATCAACCTTTTCTTGAGGCCACATATTTATTTCTATATTGAGCATACATAATATGCAAGATACTCTGGATGTAATGTGTAGGAGACAGGTTACTGCTGCTAAGGATAGATTTTTTACCCTAACCCATCATTTTCAATCCCCTATTTACATGCTGACTTTTGGTAATTTACTTCTTCACAATTTTAATATATAAGCTTTCATTTGTTTATATGGAGGGTGTCAAGGAGTAATTATTGAGCCCTCTCTTTATCATTTAAACTAAGTTTTATACCTTTTCTATCTTTTTGGTTCACATGTAAGTCTTAGCAATGGACTTCAATACATTATGTTTTTATAAAATTAGTTTATCAATTTGGCTGCTGACTATGAATTAAAAGATGTGACATATTTCAGTAATTCAATTCAGCTAATATTTATTGAATGCCTAAATAGCATCCAGTTTCTGTCTTTGAGAAAGCTTATGATGAAATAGGTTGAACACATTCCTAAACATTTACATGCAAACACAGATTTGGTAAGTGTTACAGTCTTGGCTTTACAGACAATTTAGGGGAAGGATGGATATTTATACTGATCAATAAGACTGGTGATAGCCTAGTAGAAAGAGCCATTGTAAAATTGGCTCTGACTGGATACAATTTTGATTTAAAAAAATCAGGGTAGGTAATTTCAATCTAAAGTAAGAAGGAGCAAGTCCCCAAAGAGGAAAAGTAGAGGGAGTATTTTTAGAGTCGGAACAGACTGCAGCCTAGACTGTGTTAAGAACAGTAGGAGATAGGACTGCGAAAGCAGAATGGCACAGCACTATGGAGGGGCTTACATGTCACACGAAGGCAGTGGTTTTCAAAGAGGACAATTTTGCCCCCCTGGGGACATTTGGCAATGTCTAGAGACACTGTAGATTGTCACAACCGAGGTTGCTACTGGCATCTAGTGGGTAGAGGCAGTAAGGGATTTTGGCTTAATTCTGTAGGCACTGGGGAACTCTTGGTGGGCTATGCTTTCTTGCACTGTGATTGTTGAGGCTCCTATGTATTGTTATACTAAGTCTGCAAAACGTTGCTTTGAAAATCTCCTATGGGAAAAATATGAAAAGAAAAGACCACTTGTGGAGATAAGGAATAACATATATTAATCATTAAATGTCCCTTGAACTTGAAGAAAAAAAGAAAAGGAAGAAAAAAGAAGCAACAGTTTCATGCATTGTGGGTCTCCAGACTTAAAATATTAGCACAAAGGAGAATGTAGGTATTGTTACCAACAGGCATATTTCGAATCATTGGAGCATTCTGATTTCATTACCTGGAGAGTGAAATATCTAGCAGTACATGGAGCTCGAGATTTTAAATATTTTTCTCTGGTTATACATTTCACTAAAGCAAATTGCTGTCAAAAGCATAAACATACCCCCAAACACCTCAAATCCCACCCTATAATTTGAGAAACAAGTTGATCATCTATATTTTACATTTTCTTAAATAATTAATATCAAAAAGTGAATAAGATCAAAAGGATTTATAAACAGTCAGAAACCTCATGCCAGGTACACTTATCTCTCCAGCATCATGAGAGGGTAAACAAGCAGGAAAAAAACAAATTAATTTTATTTTTAGCCCTGCCAAGCTGTGAATGTATCCCTGGGTCGGATTTTTTAGCATGAAGTAGATTTGACTTTTTGTTGCTAAGACTGGGGAGCCGCCATAGCCTTCCCCAGTCCCTTGCTTATTCTATCTTGTTGCTTTAGATTGTGATAGTAGAATGAGAAGATCTTTTCCACCCATGGATTTTTAAATAAATGGTTCAAATGAGTCTCTGTAGCAGGAATGTGGTGATCAAGAATCCCTTCCATTTTAAAGGCATTTGCTGACTCTAGGAGTTCCTTTCTCTGTTATAAAGTGGTCTGATCCAATGCAGTGACCTGAAAGCAGTCCTCCCTAGTTCTGGAGTACATGTAAGGGGGAAGAAGCAAATCATGAAAACAACTAGGCATCCTCTTAGGCAGAAATTTTCAAGGCAATCGTGTTATTTTAGGCACATACAGCAGAGGGCATTGTTTGGTCAAACATAAAACAGGGCTGCTACTGATAATAATAGACAAAGAGAAAGAAATAGGGAAATCTCCCCAACTTTATCACCCACCCCATCCCCCTCAAAAAAAAAAATGCAAAGAGACAGTGAGATGATCTTTAAATCACTGTTCTTCCCAGCTCTTGGTAGGAGAAACTTCTATGAAAATAACTACAAACTGGAAAACATTATTCCAAAAATCAATGAAATTCCTGCTATGTGAATGGGGTTCTACTAGGTGCTAGGGATCAATAAGTAAGTATGATATCCTATGGGTCCTTAGTGAGTTTACAGCCTTGACTTAATGAGTTTTCAACCTGCTTCTGTCTGGTTGAGCACTCATTCATTCATTCATGCATTTAACAATACTCCATGATTGCTGTTCTAGGTGAATACTACTGAATAAGGAAGACAAGTCTCTACTCCATGGAAATTAACCTTCCACCGAGGTGAGACGGGCAGTAAGAAAATATGCACCTGAGTGTATGAGAAAAAATAACAAATAGTGATATGTGCTATGATGAAAATTGAATATGGGTAACTTATTAAATATGACAAAAGGGATACTTTTTGCTAGGTAATCAAAAAGAACTTTCTGAGAAGGTAAAATTTAAAGTGAGCCCAGAATTAAAAGGAAAACCAACTATGCAAAAATCAAAGGATACACATTGCAGGCAGAGGGAATCCTAGTACAAAGGTCCTGAGTCGGGAACAAGCTGAATCTTTTGAGAAACCACGAAAGGCCAATGGGGTTGAACCGAGAAGGTGGAGTAAGAAAAAGTTGAAAAGTGGGAGAAGCAGACAGAGGTCAGTCTGTGTCTTGGAGACCAAAGCAGTTTGCATTTTGTTCTAAAAAGGTACAGAGCTAATAGGGGTGTTTCAACTAAAAAAAATAGCATGAACATATTTATAATTTAAAAGTTCAATCTAAATACTCTATAAAGAATGAATTGTGCTAATACAGTTAACCAAAGTAGGGAAATTAATGGCAGTGTGTTTCAGAGGTTCAAGTTAGAAATGAAGATGACAAATAATCTAGAAAGAGACAACGAGGAAAAGTAGACAGACCCACATTATGTTTTAAAGTTGAATCAGAATAGTGCTGGGCTGCAGGTGAATACAGAAAAAGAAAAGTCAAAGAAGAGTTTAACATTTTTGCCTTGAGCAACTAGTCACTTGGTAGTGGCTTTTATGGAGGTTCAGGGGCAAGTTTGGGGATTTGCTTTCAGTGTACACAATGCCATTTAATTCGTGTAATTCTCACAATGTCTATTTATTGCGTTGTTATCATCATTCCCACTTAGGAAGGTGCAGCTCCGAGAAGTCCAATTTGCCAAAGATCAAAGAGTCAGGAATACCAAACCAACCTTCCAGCAGGAGGCCTTGTACTCTAAAGCTGGTTTTTGTTTTGCTGGGTCTTACTATTGTAGATTGGGCATTCTTTGTTTGCTTCAGCATTGTTTCAAATTAGAAAGAGGACTAAAACTAAATGTGTGTTTAGTAGTCCTTTGTGTGCAATTTGCAGGGTGGACATGAGCCACACTAGATATCAAAGATGCTTCTTTCCTGACTTGAAGATCGGAGATTCCAAAATGATACACTGCTCTTTTTGTGTACCCTGATATTTTCTAACATGACCATATGCAGAAGCTAATTTTCTCTTCATTGGTATTTCATGCTCTACAGGATTTTAACTAGGGCGTATTAATTTGAACTATACGCGTCTCAGTAGTCAGATAATCAGATTGGAGATCGGTTCCATTCATTTTTAAAGCAATACTAGGGATGTCGATTATTAAAGTCACTTACTTTCTCGTCAAAGTCTTCTCTCCAATTTCCTTTAGGGACAAGGGCAGAAACTTTCTAAAACAATATTCTCATCATTCCCTCTCCTGCTTAAAAGCCTCAAGTTTCTAAGATTTTTTATTAAAATATATTCAAAATTTTTATTAGGCTTGCAGTGCTCCGCAATTGGGCTAGTTTAACTAAGTTCTATAGTGTAAATCCTTTACTTCCATTAAGTCAATTTTCTTATTATTTTGTGCTCCTACTCTGCTTTCATGAGTAAGTTCCTACCTCTTCCAATACTGCCCTGCCTCCATGCCAATCTATACTCCTTTAAAGACCTGCATAAAATTCCAAATCTCTATTTTTTTTAATTTATTTTTTTATTTTTTTGAGACGGAATCTAGCTCTGTTGCCTGGCTTGAGTGCAGTGGCACAATCTCGGCTGACCGTAACCTCTGCCTCCCAGTTCAAGCGATTTTCCTGCCTCAGCCTCCTGAGTAGCTGGGATTACAGGCGCCCACCACCACACCCAGCCACTTTTTGTATTTTTAGTAGAGACGGGGTTTCATCATGTTGGCCAGGATGGTCTCGATCTCTTAACCTTGTGATCTGCCCACCTCGGCTCCCAAAGTACTGGGATTACAGGCATCAGCCACAGCGCCTGGCCCCAAATTCTCTTTTTTTTTGAGACAAAGTTTTGCTCTGTTGCCAGGCTGGAGTGCAATGGTGCTATCTCAGCTCACTACAACATCCGCCTCCTGGGTTCAAGCTATTCTCCTGCCTCAGCCTCCCGAGTAGCTGGGATTACAGGCATGTGTCAACACACCTGGTTAATTTTGTATTTTTAGTAGAGATGGGGTTTCTCCTTGTTGGTCAGGCTGGTCTTGAACTCCCCACCTCAGGTGATTTGCCCACCTCAGCCTCCCCAAGTTCTGGGATTACAGGTGTGAGCCACCATGCCCATCCCTAAATTCTCTTCTTAAAGCATTCTCTGATTAGCTATGCCTACATTAATCTCTGGCAATTATTTATGGCATGTAAATATTGAATATATTGACTTACACTAGTACCTATATGCATATCTGTGCATTTTTAAATTTTTGATATATGTCTATAATTTGTTTTATAGCTCTAAGATGGGAAAGTTCTTGAAGACATGGGTCATTTAGCTCTCTTACAATCCTTATTATACTCTCCAGCACATGAGCCCATGTTGGTGGCAGCCACATTGTTGTTGTTGTTTTAATTTGCTAGTACATAATTCTCTGTAGTCAGAACTTCTCACCTAATGATATGGTAATGTTACCACTAGTAATATATAGTTACAACACTTGTGACAACATTAAAATATCATTAGGTGAGAAGTCCTGACTACAGAGAAACATAAACCCTAAGAATACATTATACATTCTTCCACTGTGAGCCAAATAAGTCTTCTAGAAGAGTGAAAATGCAGTCAGGTGGTTTTTTTTGGTTGTGTGTGTTTTGTTTTGTTTTTTTTTTTTTTCCATAAATCTCAACTTCTGAAATTTTAGCATTTTCTAGAAACTTTGCAGAGTCAGTGTGTTTAGCTAAACAGCTGCCTGTTAACTTGACAGGTTGATTCACTGGGTTATAGCCATTTAAATGTTGTAGCATTTCCATTACATTTACCTACTGGTTCAGCCCTGGGCATATTTACAAAAACAAATTTCTTTTCCCTGAAAATCTGCAGAACTACATACTCCTGCATAAGGGGTGGAGAAAGCTCAAGATGTGCAAGATTGGGTTAAAAATGGGAAAACAAATGATCTATATTAGGAAATGTTTATGAAATAAACTTGATTTGAAGGCGTGTGTTACCTTTGGTTATGGTGTTATTTAATTCTTTGTTTTGTTTTTTCTCCTGTGTATTCTAGCATTCTTTAAAACCCAGAGATGTCCAGATAAATGATTTTGCAGTAGAAATCCTTCTTAGCATGATGTGGGATGAGCTTCAGACCTTTCTTATAAGGATATCATGTTGCTTTACCTTAACTTGTTTCCTTTGAAAGTTCTCGTATTTATAATAGTATAGGAAAATAAAATATAAAATTTTCCCCTTTCTTTGCTATTCGCTGAGGAAATAAGGAGAGAGACAGAGACAGAGGAAGAAGAAATGAATATGAATGTATCAGGATAGGTTTGGCTGCATATAACCAGAAAAAAAATAACTGCTTATACTGTAATATATCATTTTACATAATAAGAAGTCAAGAGGAAAAACAGTGACAGGGTTCATTAATTCAGCTGCTTATCACAAATATCAAAGATGTAAGTTCTTTCCATTTTTTTGTTTTTTCTTTCTTGATATATCAGCTTTGTCCTCAGGCTGCCTCCCCTCTTGGCCACAAGATGGCTACAGCAGCTCTAGGCTTCTTTTACCCTCAACAATATCTAGAAACAGAACAAAGAATTATGTCTTCCCCATGTTTTTCTTCTTATTAGTGAGAGAAAAAAAATTCCTGCAATCCCTCAACTGACTTCCCCTCACATCTTATTAGCCAAATTGTGTCACATGTTCAGACCTCATTAGTCTCTGAAAGCAGGAATGGTACTATCAATCTTTGCTTAGACAAGAGCTTAGCTAACTATAATCTGTAAGACAACCTGCTACTTTTTTGTGTGTGCTCTATGAGCTAAGAATGTTTGTGAATTTTTAAATGGTTAGGAAATAGAATATATATATTCTTTTAAAAAAAAGTTTAATTATTGTGGGTACATAGTAGGTGTATATATTTATGGGATACATGAGATACTTTGATACAGGCATACAATGCGTAGTAATCACATTAGGGTAAATGGGGCACCCATCACCTCAAGCATTTACCCTTTGTGTTACAACAATTTTACTATTTTAGTTCTTTTAAAAGGTACAGTAAATTATTGTTGACTGTAGTCACCTTATTGTGCTATCAAATAGATCTTATTAATTCTGTCTAACCATATTTTTATACCCATTAACCATCCCTCCTTCGCCTCCCCACATCCGACTATGCTTCCCAGTCTCTGATAGCCATCATTCTACTCTCTATCTCCATTAGTCAATTGTTTTACTTTTTAGCTCTCACAAATAAGTAAGAACATATGAAATTTGTCTTTCTGTGCTTGGCTTATTTCACTTAACATAATGACCTCCAGTTCCATCCATGTTGTTGCAAGTGATAGTTTCTCATTTTTTTTTATAGCTGAATAGAATGTCATTGTATATATGTACCACATTTTAAAAATTTATTTGTCTGTTGATGGACACTTAGATTGCTTCCAAATCTTTGATATTATGAATAGTGCTGCAATAAACAGGGGAGTGCAGATATTTCTTTCATATATTGATTTCCTTTTTTTGGGAAATATATGCCTAGCAGTGGAACTGCTTGATTATATTATAGTTCTATTTTTAGTTTTTTGAAGAACTTCCAAAGTGTATTCCATAGTGGTTATACTAACTTACATTTTGGCCAACAGTGTACAAGGGTTCCCTTTTCCCCACATCCTCACCAGCATTTGTTACTGTTTTTGGATAAAAGCCATTTTAACTTGAGTGAGATGATATCTCATTACAATGTCTATTTAAGTCTTTAATCCATTTTGATTTTTTTATATGACAAGAGATAGAGTTCTAGTTTTCTTCTTCTGCATATAG